ATACAGACATGACACTCTTCAAGGTTGCCAATGCCTTTTTTTTTTTTAAAGGCAGTTGGGGTTAAGTGACTTGCCCAGGGTCACACAGCTAATAAGTGTCAAGTGTTGGGTCTGAGGTCAGATTTGAACTCAGGTCCTCCTGACTTCAGGGCCGGTGCTCTATCCACTGCGCCACCTAGCTGCCCCACCGATTGCTTCTTATTTGTTAAAGTCTTTTCTCAGTACTCATCTTCCTAGATCTCTCTACATTCAACATTGTTGATGCCTCCTCCTCCTCATTTCTATTTCTTTTTGTTTCCTGGTTCTTCTTCTACTTGTCTGACTGTCCCGTCTGGGTTTCCTTTGTTGGTTTATTATTTATGTTAGTATTCATCTTCTTTCAAACCTCCCTTGTGTCCCAACACTTTTAGTTGGTACCACTAGCATATGCTCAGGCACAAAAAGTGGGGTCATCTTTTCCTTTTCCTTCTCCTTCATCCCCTACCATACCCTCAGGAAAATTAGTCTTTCTGACTCCAGGCCCACTGTTCTATCCATTGTGCCACCTAACTGCCCACTTTGCACATAGTAGGTTCTTTTTAAATGTTTTTTCAAGTTGATTCTAAGAATAGAAATTTTAATGCTTAAAATAATGGCAAAGATCAGCTGTTAGAATTTATATGGCACTTAAAAGTTTATAAATCATGTCATAAAGTATCTCATATGATTTGGCCAATAGCACTATGAGTCAGTTACTACAGGTATTAGCCTTGTTTTATGGATCAGAAAACTGAGGCAGAGATTAAATGACTTGCATATGGGTACACAGATATTAAGTGTGAGAGATGAGATTTTGACTCAGGTTTTTAATGTTGCAAAATCCAAGGTCTTTTCCACTATTAACACACTACTTCTCAGAAATGTTTTTGTTTTATTTATGAATGAAAAAGACTTATTCTTGATTAATTTTCTTCAGGGTCCCAGTACAAAATGCAAAATATGTTAGCTTATTTCTTATACTTAAATACTTAGTAATAATCCTAGTGGCATTTCTTTCCTAGATCGTATCTCAAAAGAATCCAGTAAGGTTTTTGAAGATGTCCTTGAGAGCTTCTATTCGATTGATTGTATTAAATCACAGTTTGAAGCATGGCGTTCTAAATATTTCACTTCTTATAAGGATGCTTATATTGGTCTTTGTTTGCCAAAGTTATTCAATCCTCTAATAAGGCTGCAACTTCTTACTTGGACTCCCTTGGAGGTGAGTAGATATAAAAACAATTTTTTGGGGGGTAATAAAATAGTATGTTTGAATAAATTTAATCTTTGACTTACGAGCTCAAAATAACCAATTAGTTACTTCTTGGAATGATATACAATGCTGCTCTGGGGAGAGGGCACTAAGGATTACACTCTTTTTAATCTTGTGGCCCAAATGATAAGCTGTACAGTTTTTCAGCAGTTCACCCATTTATAGCTAGGTTATGAGTTGCTGTCATTGTCTTTCTTTACTTCTGTTCCAATATGCCGAAAGTTAGAAACCAAGTCTTATCACACCACCTTGAAGGTAAAAGTACTTAGAAATACTTTTGAAATTACAGATAACATAATCTCATTCCTGCATTCTTGATTAATAATAAAAACCTGATATTTTGAGGGCAACAGTAATAGGTAGATTATATAACTATCATTTGGGAATATGTTGAAGTGGCCTTTGTATTCTTAGTTACAAAAATTTTGGAAGATACATCTTGATATTTAGTTGGTTCTAATAAAATATAATGCCTTACATTTCTATAATGTTTTGTACTCTTCCGGCTATTTGCACATACACTAATTCATTTGATTCTTGGCAAACATACCTACTTATGGAGTAGGTAGGACTAGTATTATTTTCTATTATAATGGAGGAAAACTAAGACACACACTAAAATGACTTGTCCAAGACTTAACATTTATTTTAAGTAGTAGAACTAGAATCCAGATACTTGTTTGGGTTCTGTTTTTTTGTTTTGTTTTGTTTTGTTTTTTTTTTTCATTTTTTAAACTACTAATCCACTGCTAAATTTCTGCAATACGTTCAAATGGAGTAAAGTTTGCTTTTTATGTACTGAAATCCTTGTTATATTATTCTACATATGACAGAATGATTTAAATATTTGATTCTAGTAACATTCTTAATTCTTATGCAAGGCAAAATGTCGTGACTTTGAGAGTATGCTATGGTTTGAATCATTGCTATTTTATGGCTGTGAAGAACAGGAGCAAGAAAAGGAAGATGTAGATGTTGCATTACTACCTACCATTGTGGAAAAAGTGATTCTTCCTAAACTAACAGGTATAATTTATTGATATAGTGGCTTTTTTAAAATTTCCTCTATATTTATACATGTATGTATGTGTGTACATGTGGGGAGGTGGGAATAGTTCTTAATTTATGAATAAGTGGTATTTCTAAATTGTGTTTATAACTCATTGAGAAAAATCTCATCTGAAACAGTATTATAGATGTACTTTGTCATCCTGTAGTCCAGAATATAGAACATTAGTGCCAATTCTACTGTGCTTTCCTCTTTGTTTCTCTGAGAAAATGATTCCCAGGTTTTAACTGGAAATTTGGTGTTCTGATGACAAATTGACCTTCCTGCTATCCTACTCTTTATTTTTTATTTAGATTTTTATTCTGTTGATTTATCTCACATATAAAAAAATCAGATTTTTTTATACCAATCTTCAAAAGAAAACCATGCAAAACAATTAAAAATGTTTACAGCCTTTTCCCCCCCTTAGTTTACTTCTTTATACTTTGTTGTTGTCAGCAGAACAGACTTTTCTTGGAAAATTCCATATTGTTAGGCAAACCCTGGGTGTTTCTTAAGTGTTAACAAGTATGGCATTTACCCAGCTGGGAAACCTCAATTGTGGTTCACAAAAGGGGTAGAAAACAGCTTTCTGCTAATGTCAACATGACTAATAATCTTGTTCAATAGTTAGCTTTTTTCTAATCATAGGAAGGTACTCTGCCCACTCCAAGATAACTCAGGCGACAAGAAATCAAAGTCACTTGTGAACCTTTAAGTAAGAGGACCACAAATAATGTACCAATGAACAACTGGACTATTATCTGATGACAATTTTTAAAAACAAGATTTAGTTCAGGGGATGGGAATGTCCTAGTCTTTAGAAAAGAACAAAATAATACACCTCTTCTCTACCTGGTAGTAGCAAAGGGATATATGTACTGAGGATTGGATCACTTAAGTAGGAAGTTAATGATCTTTGGGGATGGGAAGAGTAAGGGCATTTTCTTTAGATTTAGAATAGATTAATGTGATGAGACAGGTCAGGCCAGCAACAAGGAAGGAAAGAGGTTGTTCCTACAGTTGCACTAGCTGGGAAAGTAAGTCCACAGAAGCCATTGAATGTAAAGAATATTTGTAAGCAGGGATTCCTGGTTTTTAAAACTTAATGAGTAGTTTTGTTTTGTCTTGCTACTTCTTATGTTTTTATATTTTAACTTAGTATATATAGTTTGCCTTTATCTCTATATCCAATAAGACTTATTATTGCCAAAATAGGAATAGCTGAAAATACGTGGGACCCCTTCTCTACAACACAGACATCTAGAATGGTTGGGATTACGTTGAAATTGACAAGTGGATATCCTTCAGTGGTAAATGCAGAAAATAAAAACACACAGGTAATTTATTTTCATTGCTAGTTGAGAAGCATTATATTTAGATGGCTTTTAATTTTCCACTTTGAAAATATCAATGGGTGTGTTACAGATTATGCTTCTATGAAAGATCCCTTTTATTAAAAGTAGCACTTAGCAATTTTCATCAGTTTAGACTCTTGCACCATAGTTTTGACATTGAGAAATGTGATTTCTTAAAAATTGTCACAATTTAACAAACCCAAAGATTATAATTTTTAAATGGCCATCAACTTTTTTTTTTTATAACATTTTCAGCTATATTTAAAGGCACTCTTACTAAGAATGAGAAGAACTTTAGATGATGATGTATTCATGCCCTTGTATCCCAAGAAGTAAGTAAAACTTACTCATTTAATTCCTGCTACTTTGCTGTTTTAATATGGTTGTCATTTGACTTTACTAATTTAATGAGTTTTAGCAGCCGAAAGAGACTGTTTGACAGTGTGGTGGGCAGATTGTTAATTTCTAAATAGGTAATAATATTTAATCGTTAATCTTCTATCAAATATTTGCCAGGTAAATTAAAGTGTATTCTTTTATCCCTTAAATGTCAAATAACTTTCCTCAAAAATACAATTAATTGGAAACCATTTGCTGCTTTTTAAACCTTTTTTTACCTGTTTTCTTGTGTCATCCATAGTTATTGATGAATGTATATGTCATCTGGCTTTTAGAATAAAATATTTCAATTAATGTTTTTCTCTCCGTTTTGTATATAGTATCTTGGAAAATAAAAACTCTGGCCCTTACTTGTTTTTCCAGCGACAATTTTGGTCTTCAGTTAAGGTAAGTGACCATAGCATTCTAGGGATTTGGAATTAATTCATAAATGCTACCCCTCTGAAATGACTTCTAATATAAATAATTACATATTTACATACAGAAAGCTTCCATTTGAAACAGACTCATTTGCAATTTTGTTATTTAAAACTCAAAAACTTTTCCAAGAGAAACAGTGGTAATTAGATTTCTTGGCTAACCCAGAAAAGTCTGTTTATAAACTGTAGGGTGACTGAACTAGTTTTTCCCCTTTTTCCTGGGCATAGAAGTATCCCTTGGAAATTTTTAAAAATTGATTTTAGTACCCCCCCCCACACACACACTCCTTTTTCCATATCACTTCAATCTCTATGTATCTGATATACTTGTAACGCATTATTTCTACATTATTCCTAATGTGTTTCACGTTTCAGAATTACTTAACCTACTTTCTCCTTTCTAATTACTTCACTGTAGCTGATCACAGGCATTAGAGAATGGGATGTAGGGAGGACTATCCTTATCGAACTTATTCATACAAATATAAATGACTGATAATCGCCTCTTAATCTTACCAGAGTGAAGTGTTGACAGAGAGAGGGGCTGTTAAATGGTCAGGAGGCATTTCTTTCTCCACCTCATTTTACAGATGAGAAAATGGAGGCAAGCAGAGTAGTTAAGTGACTTGCCCAGGGTCACACAGCTAGTAAGTGTCTGAGATCAGATTTGAACTCAGGAAGATCAACCTTCCTGACTTTAGGCCTGGGAACCTATCCACTGTACCACCAAGTGACCACAATTCAAATCTCTCCTCTACTCATCTGTAAAAGGAGAGTAATACTGATAATAGAAATTGTAACATAGGGCTCTTTGTGAAAATCAATTGTAATAAAGCACATATAGCACTTTGTATCCTTTCTTCAGCCATTGAACCTGAACATTCTCTAACAGCTCCAAGTTTTCTCAGTGTATTTTCATGAGCAGTAACAGCTGTTTCCTTTTGTGTATATTGGTGGGGAGAATTAGCCATTTATATGTGTTGGCTATCAATTTGTAAAATATTTTAAGTTTAAAAAGCTGAGGCCTAGAGAGGTTAAAACTCATATATTCAGTTCAATAAGAATTTGTTCAAAGAAATTATGATTGAGACTTTTCAAAATTAACTACTTTTCATTTTATATTTCTTTTAACAAATTCTTATTGAATTGAATGAGTTTTTTTGTTTTGTTTTGTTTTTGTTTTTTATTAAACTTCCCACAGAAGTTCTCCATTGCTACACAGAGTGGCATACGAGTGGGAACTTAGGTTCTCTACTCAGTGGTAGCACAGCTCAGGTTCTGGCAAGACCTACCAAGCTGGAAAGGCTTCAAAAACTGCCTGTTGAGGGCTGCTGTACTTTGGGTTAAATCATGTCCCCTAGTGAAATAACTTATTCATTGTTTTCTTGATGTAGCATAATTCTAAAAAGGTTTTGCCCAACACCAGCAAAAACAAAAACAAAAGGTGTTTTCTATCATATATGTGTATATGACCTAATATCATATTGCCTCAATTCTGCAATTTGCTTTTCTCCTCAGCTCTTAGGAAACTTTCTCCAGTGGTATGGCATTTTTTCAAACAAAACTCTTCAAGAATTATCCATAGATGGTTTGCTAAATAGATACATCCTTATGGCTTTTCAGAATTCAGAATATGGGGATGACAGCATCAAAAAAGCCCAACATGTAAGTTAACTAAGATATTTGGTATTTTATTTTAATTTATTTCAAATTTAAAAAAAAATTTGAACCTTTTGAGTATTTTATAAACTCCTCTACAACAACTAGTAGAGGGCATAAAAAAGTAGAATTGGAAATTAGTTTACCTAGACAACGAGTTCAAATCCCTCTGTAGCTTCCTGTGTGCCACATTATTTCTAAATAAATTTGTGTGGTAATTAAGGTACTTTTAAGTACTACCAAGAGGATTAGTAATGTTTTCGTTTTATTTTTTGAATATTGATATTTTAAGTAGTAAACAAGCATTTATTAAATACTTTACTATAATGTGGAGGCAAAAATGTTTTTAAAAACCATTTTGTTAAATAACCATTTAAACTAACTAAATATGGTTAAATGATCATAAAAATAAATTGGTTATCTTAATATTTTCTTAAATATGTAATTTCATTTGTGTGTTCCAAACTCTTCAAGGGAAAATATTTTAATCCTATTTTCTGATGATTGTGCAATTGACATTGGAAGATGCTATGGGGCAGCTTTGTCCTTCTATTGCTGGGACAGTTTCATCAGTTTTGATTCTTTTCATGACTTTTAAGAAATACGGTTTTTCCCTTTCAGTTGTACTAATCAACATGTCCCTTATTTGCAGAATGTAATCATTAAAAATATACCATAATTGTACCTGCATTAAAATGTTCATTGTTGGCATAGCTGAGATTTGGAAACTCAATACATTTGAGTTTCAAACATTAGTATACCTCTAATTTAACTGTGTAACTTTCACTAAATCAATTAATCTTTTTTTAAGTTGTTTTTTTTAAGCATCATCCCTTTAAAATAAGTATCTTTATATGGAACTATATAACAGGATTTGTGGTTGGATAATTATTACCTAACCCTGCTCATCATTTTTTTTCTACCATACAGGTAATCAACTGTTTCCCCAAACAGTGGTTCGTAAATCTGAAAGGGGAAAGGACTATATGCCAGCTAGAAAACTTTTGTAGATACCTTGTTCACCTGGCAGATACCATTTATAGAAACAGCATTGGATGCTCAGATGTAGAAAAAAGAAATGCAAGGTAATTACTTGTAATCAATTAATGAAGCAGAGTAGAAATCATTTTATCAAATAGTATTTAATTAGATATTTGAAAGGCAAATGATGTCTACTTTTTGGTTTTGAATTATTGTATGTATATACAAACACACACACACACACACACACACACGGCATGGCATAGGGAATAAATGATTGGCCTCAAAGTTTGGAAAAGCTGAATTCTTGTCCTAGGTAATATAACTATGGACAAGCAAATCTCTCAGTGCTCAGATTGCTCAATTCAGGTAATTTCCACACTGGAAGTTGCCTGTACTAGTGAAATCTTAGTACTGAATCTCTTTTCTTCAGTGTGAGAGAGAGAGAGAGAGAGTGTGTGTGTGTGTGTGTGTGTGTGTGTTGTTTTTTATTCCTAATCCATTTATAATTTTAATAAATTGTATATACACATTACATAATTTATACATAAACATGATATATATGTGAATTGCATTTCAGAAATTATGTCCATTTAGTTCCATCTGTTTTTAAGATAAATTTTAAAAAGGATGAAGTAAAACATTAAGGCCAGATTTGGTTAGGGTACAGTGGTGAAAAGAAAGCTGAGGCTACCCAGAAGTCATTGGAGGTGGAAAGGGGAGTTACTAAGGATCTTTTCTGGGCAGCTTATTTACTTGGTGGAGTACCATTCATAGTCCCAATTTTGACTAGGCTGGTACTTATATATCAATAATAGCTAACATTTTTAGAAAACTTGCTATTTGAACACAAATCATATTTGCAGATGTAAATTGGATTAAATTTACTAGAAATAACTTCTAGTAATTGTGAACTCTTTTCCCAGAATAAATACACTTAGTTTTTATTTTTCACTTGTTAAAAATTTTTATTTATCCAAATGAACAGGGATCATCTGTCATGATTTAATGAGAACAGTTAACTCAGTAATCATCCCAGGTTTTCAAGGAAAAGAACTTAATCTTATCTCACTATGGATTTCTAAATGGAAAAAACAAATGATACTGATTATAGTATGTAGTCAAGTTTCATACAATTTTCATTTGGGGAAAAAGTACAGACTATATCAGACCAATACATGTAGAATGTTGTAAGCTTTTTACACAAGCTTTTTTCTTATACAGCAGTATATTGGTAGATGAATTTTTAAACTGATTTTGTAATCAAAATGTTTGTCCATAAGTTTACTTATGAAAATTAACTAATCAAATACTGCTTTGTTACTTAAAATGTTTTTCTTTTTTAGGGAAAACATAAAACAGATAGTAAAACTTCTTGCAAGTGTTCGAGCTCTGGATCATGCTATGACCGTTGCAAATGACCACAATATGAAAGAATTAAAGGCTTTAATTGAAGGAAAATAGAACTTTCATACTGAAAAACCTAATATGAGCTTTAAAAATCCATTCCTGGTGTACAATTTTTGTATATATGTAAAGTTTCTTAAAATGTAAAGTATTGATTCTTGTTTTAATAGAGCATTATTATATATAGTAGTGCAACCTTAAATACAGGATGAGGAGCCCAGAATGATTACATGTAGGAATACAAGAGTGTTTTCCTTATTGCCCATCATACCTCTCTTAAAGAAACATTTTGTAACCACATTCACATTACCCATCTATTCGGTTCATTGTCTTCTGGTACACTGGTGTGTGTGTGTGTGTGTGTGTGTGTGTGTGTGTGTGTGTGTGTGTG